TGTGTTCTGGTACCTCTGTGGCTGCCCAGGGGTTTTGTAAAGCTGCAGAAAAGTGAAGATTAACAATGTTTGTGTTGGTTTCACTACTGTTGTTCCAGGCAATCAGAAAAAACTGTGGAGACTCTGGTCTAGTTCCAGCAGCAGGAGCTTTAAAAGCAAGCAAAAGTACCACTTTTGTGAGGGACAGCCCTGCAGAGGCTAGGGGACAAGAGACCAGGAAACTTGGATTTTCAGGAAGCTCTGGAGAAGTGAAAGTGGGAAAAGCACTTCTGCTACCTGAGCTGTTAGGAACCAAGGAAAAAAGAGAGATCTTAGATGTGACACCTACTTGTCAGAGGCTGAGATAAGAAAGGAGGGTCCAGATATAGTACCATGGAAGGAATTCCCTCTCCCATCCTGGCAGCTGGTAGTGTGTGGACTTCTCTGCAAGGCATGGCCAATCTGCATATCCTTCCCTGGTCCCACTTTCCCCAACAACCTTCACTTGGGAGTTTTAGTTCTCTGGCAAGTCACAACCAAATCCTGGTTACGGCAACAAGACTCGATTAACCCATCCGAGTACTGGTTAGGTTGGCTCCGATCAGTCTCATGGCAATTTGTCAGGTACAGGTATATAACACTGCTGCAGCTTGTTCCCTCTTCCTTCAACCTGGGAAGGGGTGAGAGAGATGAACTTACAAACCTCAGTCTTGTTTGCCTGCAGATGCCAATAAGGCATTGCAATAAAATCACAGATATTACCCACAAGCTGACAGCACCTGGTTTGAAACACACAGCTACAGTGCATTGTTCAGAGGCAACATCAAGAGCTCTGCCCGTTTTGAACAGGCTTCTAAAGGGGAAGATTTCCTACTGCCTATTAATAAAGGATCTCTTATGCTTCTAGGATTCACTTAACACTGTTTCACTCCCAGCTCTACTGAGCATCAGCCTACAAACTCACCCCAGCACCAATGCAAAATTGGCTGCTATGTGCAAGCTTGGAGGCTAGAAAAAAAAAAGAGCACTAGGAGTTCTGTAGCAATCAGTGTCACGGTCCTGTTTCTCATTCTTAGACATACAAAGCTTTCTCCCCACCAATATTCTTCCTGAGTACAAGGTGCTTGGAACTTCCCCCCCTCCCTTTCAATATGCAAAGAAACACACCTCAGCTGCTGTTCTACAGAAGCAGGTCTACTATAAGTTCCTAATGGGAAATTATATACAAGATCAAAAGCCTTCCTAACTGTGCCCACTCATATTTGCAACTAGCTCAATATAAACACTTCATGTTTCCACACATACAAACATCATGCATGGTCTGAATAATCATGCTCCTAAAATACAGTTCCTGGCAACTGAAGTGGGGCATTATGAAAGGACCATGATTACCCAACAGAATTCAGTGCAGCGGGTAGCTGGTTAGACATCAGAGATCAGGACTTGTTAGTTACCCATTACAGAATTAAGCCTATTTTATTACAAGGAATAACACCAAGGAGGACAGGTGCAAGCAGGTACTTACACTATTCAAAGGTTGCCTTTGAAGGGGCCTAGCTTCCGGCTGCCCAGGAGGCTGTGAGGCGAATAGTGAGCAAGAACACACAACTGGCAGCCTGAAAACTAAAAATCAGCCATGACAACTCAAGATCTACAGCGCTAGATTGTCACTGGCACCTGCAAAGACCCTGAGATTTGATTCCTGGCACAAAAGGACACTTAGGGCCAGCAAATACAATCTTTCCTAACTACCAGTAGGACCAGCAATGACAGAAGGGAGAGAACAAAAAAAGCCATGTGCTGGAAAACAGGCATTTGGGGAGGACAAGATATGCTTAAATAATTAATATAGTTGAATTGGGCTCAGTTCAGTTTCTGTGCATCTGCTATTGCTGATGGATGCTTGCTTAAGTCCACCTTATAGAATAAAAGAAAAGTCTGGCTTGAAGGAACCTCCACAGGCCAGTCTGACCCTCAAGATAGTTGTGCTGCAGATTTGTTAGGAAACTGCTGCAGGCAGGAGTAATATTTCATCCAGGTTCCCACCCTTTGTTAGGGGGAAGTGGAGACTCAGACCAACTTCCAGCTTTCAGACAGCTCCACAGAAAGGGCAAAATAAGCCAACAGCTATATTTCAGTTTGGAAAGTCATGTTATGTTCTCCTTAGGTTAAAGAGTTTTCAAATATAACACAATTTAACCAGAACATTTCAAAGTGGGTCTAAAGAGCACAACTGCTTGGTCCTAGGGAAAAACTGGAGTTAAATTGTTAACAGGCCTGGCTGCATTTTAAAGAATTGGTTGGTATAGTAGAGAACAAGAGGTATTGAAGTAGTAAAGTCCACAAAAGCCACCCTGATACTTAGACATTTTACTTCTCCTACATGATATTGGCTTCAGACTGGGACAGCTGACACCATGCTTGTCCCATTGCAGAGCTGAAAGGCTGCTAATCAGTGCTTTTTCTTCCACCCTTAGTTTAATCAGAAATGTCAAACCTTTCTATGAAACGCCTTTCAAGATCATTACACAGCGAGAAAGCTCACCATAATCTCTGGCTTACTCTTTAACACTTGTGAGAGTGCAAAGGCTATTATTTTACTGGCACAGCCCTGAATCTGCTTTAAAACAGATCTTGTGTTTTATCTGCCTGGGGGAAAACACCACGTTTTGAAGAACTATAAACGTGGGTTGTTCTGTTACTTTAAACTGGCAGCTTCCTGAGCTAATGCCACCTTATCTTGATACACATATCCTCCTTACTGTTAGGGTGAATGTTGCCAGCATAAAACTTCACTGAAGCTGGCAGAAAGGTCACAAACTTAGGCTTCATAGAGAAGCAACCAAGGTTTGATATTGAAAAAACTAACATCTGTCAAGAGGAGAAATATTTGAGTTGCTTTCCTTAAAATAGTTGTATAAAAGGAACAGCAGCTTTGTCCTACACACACATTATAGTTGTCTTATAATACATTTAAAATTCAGTGATGCCTAGAGTTCTGTAATACAGCAATGACATCTGTCAAAAACATTGGTCCAATGAATTAATGCAGGGTTTCCAAGACACAGCATTTAAATACACACATTCCCCCCCCCCCCCCGGGCACTCAGATTTGGACACAACTGGAGATGAATGACTGCGGGTTTCTCTATACCAGAGCAATAAACCATCAAAGACCACTCACTACCCATGACTCCAGGAGTTCCCTCAGTACCTGCCAGAGGAATCCTATGCATGAAATACCTTTGGCAAAGAGAAGAACGAGAAGAGTATACATGCTCTTTGTTTCACAACCCAAAACAGCTGACATTTCCAGAAGTTGGCATGTGTGCATATTTGGGGGGGGGGAAGGTTGAGAATTCATTTCTTTCCCCTCACTCTGAAGTTTACTTTTCTCTTAATTATTCCCCCTCCCCATCACCCAGGACCACATTGCAGTGGTATCCTTTAGGTTGCTGGTTCAAATCCACCCCTGACTGGTAGTAGCTGAAAGTCAGTGCTACCTCAAGGCTGCTTGAAGGGATCATAAGGGATGAGCTGGGAAGGACATATCCAGTTCTCAGCAGACCAGTGATGGTAACATGATATGACATGCTTGAGTCTGTCTGCCTGGCTTATAGGGAGACTCAGAGAGGTGAGGGGCTGGACAGGCTAATACAACTGAATTCTCAGGGGTGAATCACAGTATTATAGGAAAGCACGTGGGAGATCTGCCCTGTCACCATTTTGAGGCAAGACCAACTAGGGAGAGCCAGAAGCTGATCGAGCATTCGGTTCTCTTTGAGCACAACATGACAAGGGGAAGCCAAAGCACTGTGGAGGGGCCACCATTAGTCTGCTCCCTAACTGGTAAGTTACTGTGTGTGTGTCCTTTACAGCACACACCTTTCCCCTGAAAAATTCAGCTGCTGGAAATTAGGGTGTGCATTTTAGCAGAGGAAATACAGTAATAGCAGCTTCTGCCTGGGAAAGTGACAGCAAAGCAACAGTGCTGCAAGTGGGGCTGTAGGCACTTTCTTCCCATTCCCCTTCCTCCATCCACAGGGGTGTCTGCTGCACAAGCAAGGAGAGACTTTCCCCCCCACTTCTTTCTGTCTTTCAAAAACAAAGTGTGTATCGTCTTTTTTTTTTTTGGGGGGGGGGGGGGGAGGGGCAGCATAAGGTATATAAGAGAGACAATATGGTAAATCAGGCTGGAGGTGTGTGCTGTCCTAGCAGCATAGGTTTGCAAAACCAGACCAGACAGAATTAAATGTTCATTAGTTGGGTGATTTGAAGAGGAAGATGCACACTAACTAAGCTGGACATTACAGTGTGGCCCCCCCCACAAAAGATGGGAGTCTCATAAAGACACACACATACATGCACTTTCAGCTGGGGACCGAACTGGTTTCTGACTGGGGCTGGGGAGGGAACTCACAGCTGTCACTCATTAAATAACCCCACTTTGTAAGTCACTACACCAGGCAGACAATCTTAATTGCTTTATTAAATCTGCATGTAGGCAAGCAGTTCTCAAGCTAGGTTTTGCTGCCTTTTAGCTTGTCTCAGGCCAGATGCAGTGATGGCCTGCTCAAACAGTGCTGTTGTCAAAGATACGGCCACAGTGACATAAATAAATGCTAACTCTGAGATTTGGGTAGACTGAATCCAGCGAACCGGGGAACATTAAGAGCCCTCTGCTTCAATGAGAGCTGTGAGCAGTAATCAGCCAACAGGTACAAGAAACCAAGGCAGGGGCTTTACCAGGAGGGTTAGGCTTGCTGTACATATCACTTCAGCCCTCATGCATAGCAAGATGAGTGTGGGTAGAGGCCAGAGATTAGGTAGAGTAAGAAGCTCACAGCTAGAACAGCTTTTCAGACACACACACACACACACACACACACACACACACACACTATTACTGCTATTTGATTGCCTAATGGTCAGATTTCCAGGCACCTTCTCAGCTGCCAGAGGCCAATCCACAGCCCAAACAGTATTCATTTCTGCCCTCTTCGTACTGATGCACACACACAGAGCCCGACTTTTGAAGCACTCCAAGATTTCCTATTGTCTTTGTCACAACTCAAGGGTGTAATTTTTGTTGTGTGCGCGCTTAGGCACCACTGAATTATTTTCCCACCAATTTGTAGCTTTCTTTGCAGTGTGCATTTCTTCTTTGCAGCTAAGAAATGCACGTTGCAAGGAGTTCCCGCCATTTGTATTCTAATTCGAGACCCATTATTGGCTTGCATTAAATTATTCACGCGTGGCGGCTAAAGAATAGGTTTTCTGGCCCATTGAAAG